GGGGGGGGGGGGGGGCAAGAGGCTGACTCCGTAAACTGCTTTAGAGAGGACTGTGAAACAGTATGAAGCGGTATATAAGTCTAAGTGCTATCGCTAACAAATGCCTCTACCTTTCCCCAAAATGAAAACATAAGAAACACAGGAAAATCTCTGTTGATTTTAGACAGAGGTTCTGTTTGACTTAACGATGACTGTTTGAACCGCAAATTTACCTTGCTAAGTTGTTCAGTGAGTTTTGCCCCATTCTATGACCTTCCCTGCCACTGTTGCTAAGTGAATCGCCGCAGGGGTCAAATTAGCCACACGGCTGCCAAGGGAATCTGGCTTTTCCCACGGTGCCCTCAGCTTGCTCAAAGGTAAAGTAATTCTGCAGCACGCAGAAAAATACTCACCGTTTTAACCAAGTACCGGCTGTCCTTGTTATCCACTGGAATAATTCTGTGGGGAGGAAAAAAAATAAGACTTTAGGATGCTTTCGTTGAAGCGCCAGGTGGATGGCGTGGCATGCCTCAAACCTTCAATTCCGATAGCATCCGTCGGATAGAAATAAAGAAAATACAGCTTTTAGCGTTGTAAAGTAGTTTTTCTTTTTTTTTTCCAAATTTCCTTACAGAGAACGAATTCTTAAATCACCCCAAAAGTCTTGGGTTTATCTAAGACATGACAGTGAGCGGTTAATAGGGTGGCTGCCGACTCATCAAATATTTCTATGGTCTTTTTTCGAGTTGCCAACCGAAAGGGAGGAGGGGAAAGGGGTTTTGAAAGAGCAGTGTGGCAGCTTGGAAATCGAAAGTGCATTCCATAAATAGTTTTTCAAAGATAATAACTAGGTGACTGAAGTTCCTGCCGTGCAAAATTCTAACTGGAGAATCTGATGGATGACTCTGGGCTATGGAGGTGTCCCATTGGAGAATATGGATTAGGATACACCCTGGGGTGGGGTGGGGGGAAAACCAGAGTCAAGGGTGACAATGGATGATGAGCCTCAGAGGTGGCTATACCCAGGCAGTGCCGGACATGTTAACTCCCAATAAATCCTTTATGAAGTTTTGGAAGTTTGGCTCAAGACTCCTGATTTAATTGGGGGTCACCACCGGAATCCAGACACAAAGTCCATGGGGAAGCTAGATTCACTTAACAACCATGTTCCTAAAGTTTGGAGATGGTCATTTCTAGTCCTGCCTTGGGCATGAAAGCCACCTTGGTGATTTTGGCCAATCACCCGGAGACGGTGATTTCTAGTCCCAACATAGGCACCAAAACCAGCTAGGTGACTTTGGGCCAGTCACCAGGAGGCAGTAAGTTCTAGTCCCGCCTTAGGTACGAAAGCTATGCCAGTTCCTCTTCCTCAGCCAAACCCACCTCGCGGAGTTGTTGCCATGGGGGAAAAAAGGAGGCAGGAGTCTCAGGTAAGTTTACAGATATTAAAAACGGTGGGAATCAAAATCTAACGATCGTAACATCAAGAAACACAACCGCAGGCCATCCCACCAGTCAGCTTCCAAGCCAAAGGCGCTTGTCTACTCGAGAGCAGGAAAGGGCTCACCTCCCATGGTTGTTCACAGCTTGAATCCAGAAATCTATCTTGGTGCTGTACGAAAGAGGAAGAATTTTTATTTTATTTTATTTTTACAAAAAAGAGGGGAGATAAATGAAATGCTGAAGTTAAACAGATTCTCCGGTTACGCTAAACGTCCTGTTCTACGGGCCAATCTGAGGAACATCAAGGAGCCCTTGACTTACGACCACGATTGACCCCAAAGTAGAAGTTGCTAAGTGAAGCTGAGCTTGTTCCGCGAGTTCTGCCATCTTTCTTGCCACAATTTTTAAGCCGATCCCTGCAGTTGTTTAGGTTAGTCCCGCTTTCGTTAAGCGAATCGGGCTTCCCGAAATGACTGTGCTCGTCGGGAGGTTGCAGAAGGGGATAATGTGACCCTGGGACCCTGCAACTGTCATAAGTACATGCCAGTTGCCAAGCGTTTCAACTTGGATCACATCATCCTAGGGATGCTGCCAAGGTTGTAAGTGTGAAAATCGATCCCAAGTCGCTGTTTTCCGTGTTGTTTGTGACGTCAAATGGCCACTAAACCAACAGTTGTAAGGGGAGGACTACTTGGAGTGGCGAGAACGTATCTGTGGGCATGTGCATAATGTTGTACGAATGAACGCAATTCACAGCCATGGGGAATAAAAGAGGTTTTGCCGGGAACTAAGATTGTGTTTTCCGCTTTCAAAGGAAGCCGGGGTCAGAACACAGGAAAGTGCTTCTAAGTCAGAGGTCTCCAAACGTGGCCCCTTTAAGACTTGTGGAGCTATGCTGGCTGGAGAACTCTGGGAGTTGAAGTCCACAAGTCTTAAAGGGGCCACGTTGGGGGACCCCTGTGCTAAGTCTTCGAAGACTCCAACAACGAAGGGAGAGTCGTTCCACGTTTTCAAAAACCAGCCCCGACTCGTTATACAATCCCAGTTTGTACAAAAATGCTTACAACAAAGAAACAGA